AGACATGATCCTTCTGTTAGAATTGGACTTCCTCTTCTATTTGTTATGTGACATGAATGGATTGCAGGCAGTGCCTTGGTGTGCTCTCAGGTTTGTCTTAATATGTCTGTAAAGGAAAAAGCTCCTTGGTTGCAATCACTTAACAAGTGAATTTTGGAAGAATTCCTGTTTTGTGCACTAGATTTTTTTTCTTCCTTTTTGCTTTTGATCAACTGAAATAAAGAATGCCTTCCACTGAACAAAGCTCAGGCTGGCCTTTGGAGAAATGAAAATGACATTTCATGTTAAACTTTCTGAATGGTTTTATTTCTATAAAGATCATGTTTTATTTCTGTGGTTTAAATAGGTAAACATTTATTGTATAAATTGTAACATTAAAGGCATTTGCCTTGGTTTTCTATCACAGACTACCTAAACATTTTCTGTCCACAATCTGTAGACATATAGCATGTCACTCCTTCTAATAATTGGGGTGCTTGGTTACATTTAGATTGGGCATCACTTACTTTGAAAGGTGATTTTAGCTAGAAGTCAGTAATATAGCTTGATCAGAAATAGCAGTTTATAACTGGAATACCATACAGTGAAACAAATGATGTAACGTGTCACTAATGTTCAGTGTGGGGACAGCCAAGGATCTAGTCAGCTGAGAAGGCAACCAGGCAGCCTTCCTACTTGCTAGCTGGACTTTAGGGCAAAAACTCAGGGGCAAATCCCATTCAAAGGGAAGAATTGAAATTGGAAATGCAAATGAAATATAGTTCTTGAGGAACTGAACAGGTAGACGTAGCAGGTAGATGTTGGCTGGCTCTATCCATCTGGCCACTGTCTAGTTGCAGTAGGGTTAAAAGAGGCACAGCTAAATTAAGAAGAGACTAATCACAGACACATGAAAAATGTTAGCAGCTTGTATTCTGGCACTTCTTACATTACATGGTGACTCTGCTAACACAAGCATCAAAGGAAACTCATGCTGAAATGGCTGTGATGATTTACTGTTGAATATTAAGTCTAGGTGGTAATAAATTAAGAATATGCCCTGCCACTAGGAGAAGAGAAATTACTTAAAAATTTACTGTAATCACGTGTATACTTAATATTCCCCTGGAAGAACCCCAAAAAACTCTGCTTTTTATGGTCAGCACTTTTGCACATGTGTAAAATTATTATTCATTCTGTCTCACTTTAAAACCATCTGAATATTATCAGTTTTGGATGCATTGTAGGAGTAGTTAATTACATGGATGGTGATTTTCAGTCCTTATGCCAAGGTGGATGCTCTTTGTGAAAGACATAAGGATTGAAGTAGATGCAATTACATTTGATCAGATTTTAAATGCTTGAGATGACTGTTCAGCAATTTGCTTGCTCCTAATCCAGTATGGATTTATTTGTCTAAGTGTTATTAGTCTGCCTAAACATGTGTATGATCAGTTTATTTATGGGTGACTTTCTG